AGTTTACATGCATTCTTGCCTGTGATCCTAAATCTTACTGGAGAGAGTGATTATTACCTCCTTTCTACAAATAAGGAGGAGAGGTTTAGAGCAGCTAGAACCTCGAACTCTGCCACCATGTTCTCAACCATGAAATGTTCAGCCTTGGAAAGGAGAAGGGGCTGCATCCTCTCTGTGGAAAGGGAGGGTGCCAGGAAGGGTTGGACAGACACATTTGAAACGAGGAGGCTTGCATCTGGGAGCAGGGCGCTGGGAGGGGGTTGGGCAGCATTCCTGGGGGCCTGGGTCCCTGCCATGGCTGGAGCGGCATGAAACAGCTCACAAGGGTAAGCCCCAGGGGCAGTTGGGGCAGAGGGCAAGAGGGTAGGGAGGCAGCCGAAAGTGGCTTTGGGGCCCTTCCTCTCTCCTCGGGAGAGTGGTCTCAGGGAGAAGGGAGAGCCGTGGGGCAGGGGCCTGGGCCACGCTTCTGAAGTGCAGGACCGGGGACTTTGTCAAGACTAATGGCGGGCCGGTGGGCAACCAATGCGGCTGCCGTACTCTGAGCCCCTAGACTGTCAGGGTTTTAGCTATGCCCATTGTCCAGACATGCCCAGGGGGACGGCCCGGTGCGAGCTCCACCAGGACGCTGCTCTCCGGAGCCCGTTTCAGGGGTGGCATCGCCCACACCTCATCTGAAGGTACACTGTGGTGATCCGAGAGGCTTAGCTCACGTCCTCAGACGTCCTGGAGATCATCCCCACGGATCAGAGTGTCTGTGTCAGAGGAGAGATGAGCAAGATGAGCCTCAGCATGCCTCCTTCCTAGATGCTCTGCTCTCAGGAGAGGGAGGGTGCGGGCCAACGGACTTCCCGGGATGAAAAGGAGCTGTTTTGAGAACCCCGAGGTGCCGTGGTAATAGGCCTTAGTGTCTGCAGGGAGGCCGCCCGCAAAGGGTGGGAATGCTGTGCTGTCACCGGGGAGGGGTGCTGCCCCCGGTTCACTTCCCGTATGTCGGCGAAGTGCAGCCGGTGGAGCGGCCCCTCCTCCGTGCCCAGCGCTGGCGCTGCGGGCTTCCGGGGACGCTTGGTCTCCTGGCGGAGGCTCTCGGAGCCGTCAGACCTTGGGCAGCTCCATCCTGTCTTCACCGGGCACGGGTCACCCGAGCCCGGGATGCCGTGGGGTGGCTGTCACAGGCTGCACAGGACAAAATGCCGTTGAGCGGACCCTTCACTGTCCCCCGTGAGCGCGACAGAAGCTTGGGCTTCCCCTGCTTCCGGGAGATGTGACTCCCTCGCCCAGATGGAGCGACTGACCGTGGACGCTGTCCCAGCAGCGGTTCCCGGGCCGTCGCTGGGGCTGCGCGCGGAGGGCGGGGACGGCGCCCCGCGCTGGTCCGTTGAGCTGTAGCAGCCTTCAGGAAGGAGACACCTGGGAAGTGGCAGCGGGACGGCCAGCGCCTGTGGAGGGGAGTCCCGAGGGGGACCCCGGCCTCCGGGGGCTCACGCAGCAGGCGCACTGGTCACAGCGGGTTTGGGGGAGGCCAGTGGCTTCCGGCAGCTTCTCACGCGGTGGAAGCGTGTCTTAGGGATCATTAAGGGCCAGGGGTCACACACTTGGCCTCGCGGAACCGCTTGCTTTGTTCTCCTAAGAGCGCTCGCGGAGACCGCTTTGCCCAGGGGCGATAGGCTGCCCCCCTTCAGTGGAGACGCTGGGGCGGGGGTGCTGACCCCCTTGAGCCGGCCAGCCTGCCCCTCCGGGCTGTGCCCACCTAGCTTCGCGAGTGGCCTGGTACCAACAAATAGGCAATAAAAGGCCGGTCTCTCCCGCCACCCCCCACCCCCAGCCCAGACCCTTGTGCTGCAGGGGGGCTCTGGGCCCCGGAGGCGGTGGGGGCATCCTGTGCTGCCACCTCTTCCTGAATCGTCACCTTCTCCAGTTAAGCGGGGCCTGTGGGAGGCGGTGCGGACGGAGGAGGGAGGCTGATGTGTGTCCCGCGCGGATTCCAGGCCGTGCAGGCGGCTGCGGACGGGGTGTCCGAGGGCAGGGGAGACTGTTTAATTCAGTTCAGCCCTCAGACGGACACTCCGAACTGGGCTCCGTCCCTGCTAACATGGGAGCCACGGCAACCGTGTGAGGAGAGCCCGCTCGGAGGGGCTGCGCTTGGTGTCGGCCCCGTGGCGGGAGTGGCGGGGACCCCGAGACGTGTCCGGCAACGCTTGAGTCACCGTGCTAAACCTCAGCAGGATCTTGCTGCTCCCCTGTCTGGACCCGCTTCCCAGGCCTTCAGAAAAACCCGCTCTTGTCGCATGGGCCCTCTTCCCATTTCTGGGACATCCCAAGCTCGTCCCACACATGCTATTCCCTCCCTCTGTCTGGAGCGCCCCTCCACACACATACACACGTGCACACACACACTCACAAGCACACGTGTGCACACGAATGCTTCCGCACACACTTGCGTGTGACACCTGGACACACCTGCGCTGGCGTGGCGGGCTCCTCTGCCGCCTTCAGCCCTCAGCTGTCACCTGCTCTGAGGGCTTCCCCTGTCCACCCTCCGTTCGCGTGCCTGGACTCTGCCCTCACGTCCCGGTCTCCCTCGCACGGGGTGGTGAGCGGGGTGGGGGCGGTGGGGTCTCCCCGGCCCAGACGCCGTCTGCCCTGGCGGGTCCCTGTGAGCACAGCTGGACAGAGCCGGGCACGCCTGGGCTCACAGCGAAGCCTGCGCCGTGGCCCATGCCTGCCGCGTGAACTCCGCCTCTTCGCACGGCGGCTGCGACACGCGGGAGCACGAGCCAGTCGCCCCATTTAGGGTTACTAATGGCGGTCACGGGAGGGTTGATGCCCGCGACACTCCATGGAGGCCTCTGATCTTACCAGAAATGTCTCTTCACGTTTGTGTCCTTTAAAGCTGTGCGTTAGTGGGAAATGTAAAACTTGGCTGTGCGAGTCTGAAGAGCCTCTGGGCAAGGACCCAGAGTGGAAATCTGGATTCAGTGGAATTTGAAGTTTTCTAAGGCCTTCCGTCTTGGGAACGCACATTCTCTGGTAGCCGAGGTTAAGTGACCTGAGACTGCCCCGGGGCTTTGCCCTGTGTCCAGAGCCCAAGACAGGGCGTCTGCTGACTCTCCTTTTGATCATTAGCAGGCCCTTGCATGTTTTAGTCTTTGAGGGGAAAAGAGAAGTTTATTTTGGGAATAAGACCGTTTTTCCTGGGTTCTGGTTTGCTCTGTGTCACACATGATTGCCCCAGCAATTCATCATTCACTCATTGAGTTTGTCTGTCTAACCCAAATGCCCTGTTTTCCTTTCATTCCCAGTTGCCTGGAGGCCTGGCTGCCCACCATGCACCCCACTCCCACTGGGGTTCACCTCTGTCAGCTCCCCGCTCATCAGGAAAACCCCACAAAGGCCTGTATCCCAAAGCTGTGTGGCCTGGTGGTAGGGCAAGGGAGGGCCCGGCCTCCCCCATTTTGCTCCACCCCTGGTCACTGGGCCCAAAACAACTCTTCCCGTGTCCAAGACTCATGTCTCTTGAATGCCTCCAACTCACCTACGAAATTGCCAGTAACTTCTGCGCTTCCTGCAGTGGTTTTCCGTGAGTGGTAGTTTTATGGAACTTGGAGAAGATTCTGAGTGTGGGTCCAGTGTCAGCATGAAGATGGGGAGGGCCAACATCTCCTCTTCATCCTTCTCGCTTCCCCCCATTCTGTTCCCCACGTCCTCTCGGCAGCAAGTTCTGACCCGCAGGCAAAGGGAGCCTCCAGGAACAGCACACGGGGCGGAGGGGAGAGGGCTGCTCGCCCAAATCTCCCAGGAGCTACTGTGGGTCACCCAGCACCTATGTCCTCGGCTCCGGTCTGTAGGACAGAGAGGGTTATCATCACAGTTAAAGGAGATGCATCAGCTGTGGGGAATGTGGAGGGTATGTTGAAGAGACCCTCACTGGAAACGGCCTCTTCTCTAAATTTCTCTCCTCAAACTCTTGGCTAATGCATGTAATTCTACGCCTAGTAATTTGTTTATAAAATGCAAACCTTACGTGAATGGGTCACATTATTTAATAGGTCAGGTTCCCAGTGGGGACTGTTGGCACCCTCCCCTGGGGCATTTGAGAAAGGGTCACTTCCGAGTGTGGAGGCCCTTGTGTGAGGGGCACAGTCAGCCTGAGGCCATCTTGCAGAGACTCAACACCCCACCTCTCTTTCCCTGCCCTGAATTTACAGCAGGCGGGGTGGGGGAGGCGGGGGACAGGAGCTCACACTGGCTGCCCCAGGCAGAGGGCAGGTGGGGAGGGATAGCCAGGCCTGGAGGGGCAGTTGGAGGACGTGGGAGAGGTTAGTGCCTGCCCGTTCTCCAAGCCATCTTTATGTTACTGTAAGTTTAGAGAAGTTCCTTGTAGAATAAGCCACATGAAAATCATGAAGATCATTATTTTCCAATCCCCCAAACTAGGCTCTTTTTGCAAATATCTTCCATCTTGTCATATGTAGGATGTGTGGATCTCTGTGGCTCTGAGTACATTCTGGTGGCAGAAGAAAGGCCAGAGAGGGGCTGGATGTGGGTGTTCTTGACCTGAAGCACGATGGGGTGCAGATGGGCAGCAGGGGGTGCATCATGAGAAGACAAAGAAGACCCCCAAGGGGAAGAACACAAAACAGTTTTCAGGCTGGAGTTGGTCGCCAAGACAGGGAAACAAGGGCTCTAGTGGAACAAGGCCAGTCAGAGTGAGAAGAAAGACCCTCTTTGACCTTCCTTGGCCCTCCTTGACCCCTCCTGCTGCTCCACCAGTTTCTCTCTGGCTTGCCTTCATCCATGCTGATTCCCTTCCAAATCCCACTTAAAGGCCCCTCCAGGCTCCCTCGATGCCTGCGTGTCTGCTAGGGCCGCGTCTCTCAGGTCTACCTCACACTGGTCAGGTTCGCCTTTGCTCTCCCTGACACTGAAGCCCTGGAGGGAAGGGACTGTGTCCTGCTCCATCACACCCTCAGACATACCCAGAGCTGTGGGTGTTGTGGGCACTTACTTCATGAGGGCTGGTGGGTGGGTTGAGAAGTGGGTCAGAAGTGGATGTTTGTGGGTGCAAGTGATTTACGTTTCTCTGATGACTGCTGATGTGCAGCATCTTTCCACATGTGTACTGGCCGTCCTGATGTCTTATTTGGAGGAATGTCTACTTAAGTCCTTTTTCCAGTTTTGAACTGTATTGTTGGCTTTTTTGTTGTTGAATTGTAGGAGTTCCTTATATACTGTTGAAGGCTTATTATGTTTTAAAGATTTTATTTATTTATTTTAGAGACAGAGAGAAACAGAGAGAGAGAGAGCACGAGTGAACGGGGGAGGGGCAGAGGGAGAGGGGCAAGCAGACTGCGCTGAGCACAGAGCCCAACGTGGGGCTCGATCTCACAACCCTGAGATCATGACCTGAGCTGAGATCGAGAGTTGGATGCTTAACTGACGGAGCCAGCCAGGCACCCCAAAGGCTTATTTTTATGGTCCAGTAATTCTAGTTTTGGGCATTGTATGACCATATACCAGTATTTCTGGCCACAGCCACTGGCAAGGGTAAAGCATGTCCTCATTTGGTGACTTGGCCAGTGTTTCTAGACTCATTAACTTGAGATCATCTTTTAAAATGACAGAAATTTTATTTTTCTTTTTACAACAGGTTGAAAAAAACCAGTGAAATCTCTGGCTTTCATGTTTCCAGGGCCAAGTATTACCGTGGAGTAGAGTATTAAAGCACAGTGAGAAATCCCTGGGTGAGCAGAGGTTACTTCTCAAAGTCCGGACCCTGTGTGATGGCAGAGTAGGGTCATAAATGGCAACATTGTATTGTGTACTTGATAAGTCTGATAAGCATTTTTTTTTTAAAGATTTTATTTATTTATTTGAGAGAAAGAGTGAGAGAGAGAGCACAAGAGGGGGGAGCAGGAGAGGGAGAAGCAGACTCCCCGCCAAGCAGGTAGCCCGATGCGGGACTCGATCCCGGGACTCCAGGATCATGACCTGAGCCGAAGGCAGTCGCTTAACCAACTGAGCCGCCCAGGCGCCCCAAGTCTGATAAGCATTTGCTGGAAGCCAGGAGAAACCCACAGTAAGATCAACTGGTAGTCATCAAAACCGCAGCTGTTTGCCGAAGGGCAAAGCAGTGTTAGCAAAGGGACTGACATTTGGACCTGCTCTCAGGGCAGTGGGCTTGCAAAGAAAGCCAGAGCACAGAGGGGACCGAGAAGGCCACTTGCCCTGAAATTGGTAGGGAATCAAGTTCTGTGTGGCGTTGAGGGCGAATCGTGCAGCCTGACGCCCATGCTGACATCCCTTCTCAAGAGCTTATCAAACCTCTCCAGGATCGAGGCAGAGGAGGAAGCCCTAGATGCTGATTCAGAAACCCCCCTGTTGAGCCTCGATTGGTTCTTGAAGATTTTGAAACATTCACTTATGAAAGGAATTTTCCATGATGACTTTCCTCCCTGTGATCCACCCTGAGGTTCTTGTAGACCAAACTTTGCATGACTTTTCTGCAGGTGGCTGCTGGATGCCAAACAATAGGAAGGACATTTATAATTAGTCCAATTATCTCTAACATTCTTGTCTGAGTACTGCCCTGGGATGACCCACAGAGGTTTGTGTAAAGTATTCTTATTCTTATTCTTACTATTATTTTAAGTAGGCTGTACACCCAGCATGCAGCCCAACGTGGGGCTTGATCCCACGACCCTGAGATCAAGACCTGAGCTGAGATCAAGAGTCAGACACTGACTGATGGAGCCACCCAGGCGCCCAAGGTTTGTGTAAATTCAAACAGAAACTACAGGCAAGTATTTTGCCAAGACCTTCCTTGCAGACTCCTCATCCCGGTTCTGGGAGAAAGCATGACCAAAGTGGGAAACAAATGCGCCCAAAGAGGGAGCAGCCATGATCTGACAGGGAGATCCAGACCCTCTAGCACCTGTATGCATGCAGTGGAGATTCAGGCCCAGCAGGGGCATCGGAGGCCTCTTCCCCCAGCCGCTGGTGGAGGGTGGAGGGGGCTTGCCAAGGAGGACAAAGGGGCTGTGGTTGGTGCCCTCGAAGCAGACTGTGGTGCTGAGCTTTATAAGACAGATTCAAAGGGGACCATTCCTATAGGGACAGGGGACCCATTGGACCTGGTCACACAATGTTGTGTTCTTTTATTAGCAAAGATGTATTGATGTGTGCCAGGTGGTCTGTTGGGCCCCCCAGCCACGGGATGAAAATCTGTGGAGAAGTAAGCCGAGTGTTCTCTTTGGGTCACCTGGCCACAGGCCACAGAAGCGTTAGCCCAGTTTCCCACCAGGTGGCCAGGGTGTCCACTTAACTCCCGGAATGGTGGCCCAGAAACTCAGACTTCGATGCCTTAGCCCGGGCCATTTAATCTCTGGATTTTATAATCACCAGGATGAGACACGGGAAGTGCAGACGGTGCCGCCATGCTGGCTGGAGCCCAGCCTAGGGCATGGGTACGCAGAGGGCCTGTGGTGGGTTCTGTCTCAGGGTTGAGGAGCTGCTTCCTACCGGTGGGACCTTCTGAGGCGGCCCCTAGGATGATGGTGGGTGCGTGAGCCACACCCAGAGTGTGAAGGAACTGTGAGCTGTGGGGACAAGAGAAGCAGGCAGGGGCAGACAGAGGAGGACCGGTGTGCAGGGCTGAGGGTCTGGTGCTACCCCATTGAGGACAGAGCCTCAGGAGATAGTTAATGGTGAGGCTGTGGGAGACTGGAATTTCCCAAGGTTTTCTAGAGGTGGAGGCAAGACAGGCCTTCCCCGTCTGAGTGGAAAGCCCTGGAGAGGAGATTGTGGGGCTTGTGTGTTCTGAGGAGAACCCTGCAGGCTGACGCCTATCTCCGCCATCCGCAGCCCCTCCCAGGCCAACACGGGTGAGGCTCAGATTGCTTGCCAACAGTCATCTGACAGTATTTAACGTCCTCATGGCACTGGCTATTGTGGTTGTGTCCTGGGGTCTGGGGCCCAGTGGAGAAGCCATGGGGGTGTAGAGGGGAGAGCCTGGGTCTGTGTTTGCCCACCCAAGGGGGTCTTCCTGGTATGCATCTGAAGTTCTGTGCTCCCCCGTTGCTCTCTGGACCTGAAGGATGACTCGAGGACGGCCCTCAGTGTCACCTGGGTGAGCCCTCTGTTCAGAGTGAGTCCGCATGTGGATATTCTGAGCCGGCCAACTGGCTCATGAAGTTTCTGCAAGAAAGTTCTCTGGAAAATTTGGCAGTTCTGAGGGTATGTTTACCCTATCCACTAAAACCCTTTCCAAAACCATCAACTCCAGATTTTGTGAAGGAATTACAAAAGGTCCTGACCACAGAATGTTAGCTCAAGAGCGTTTAGCGGTTTGGTCTCACTTGCTGATTTTCCTAGTGAAGATACTGAAGCCAGACTGTGGGTAAGTCCGAGGGCATGGCGCCATCTGCAAGGAGGTCACCCCCAGCACTGGGTCCCACCACACCAGCTGTCCATGGGATTTCCAACTGCCCAGGATGTAGGCAAATTTCTGGTTCCAGAGTTCTGCACCAAGATATTGACGGCCTTCTTGTTTATACTAATGAAAACTTGGGAGAATCTAAGGGTCCCTCAGTAAGGAGAGAGTGAAGTAAAAGCTGGGGTGATCCTTCTAAGGGGCATGAGGCAGGCTCTGAAGTCCACGGAACTCTTCAGGGATGAGAGTCCCTTTGTTTTTCTGGCTAGAGACATATCCTTAGTGCCCAACACAGGGTCTGGCACTTGAGAGATGCTACTAAGTATTTATTCCAGATTAATGCTGGGATAAAGAGTCTGCATGGAGAATCTTTTCAGAACCCAAAGCTTGAAGTGGCAAATGTAAAAGGGACTGATGTAGCCTGGACCAGAGCCCTGGTGGCATAGACCCATTCCCCAAAACCATCCTGGAAGGAGCCAAGAGAAGTTGGAAGAGGAAAGGGCCTCGGAGTGGATGTCCCCATGGGGGAGGTTGTTTCCTCATCACGCTTGTCTCTTTAGCATCTGAGCTGCTCCCAGGCCATACAACTGACCCACGCCCACTTCAGAGCACACGGGGCCCTGTCAGCTGCGGGGGCCTGATCTCCAGGTGTCCCCAGGGGTTCAGGCTGCTGGAGCATATATTGTGCTTTCAGCTACCGTCAATGTCTTCTCAGCACCACCCCAACCACAGGCTCACTGGTCAGCATGACCAGCAGCATTTTCCTCCCCATACCTGCTCCGGACTGCCTGGGCATCTTCTGTGATGTATTTCCCTCCCTATGGTAGGCTTTCTTGATGGCAACTCAATTTCATTAAGATGCTAATGTTGGAAGTAGAAGGCGTGAGCACAGGGCTCAGTCCCAGAGGGAAGACAGGTTTGTTAGGAAAGTGTAAAGTGCTGGCCCCACTGGGAGCTGTTCCTGAGGTGCAGGGCAGAAAGCAGCTCTGGCCAGATACAGAAAGGTTCTTGGTTCCCCATAAGCTGGCGTCACTCTCAGGATTGTCCCACCCTATCCTATTAAGACAGAGCTCAGATTGCATATGTCCTCTGAGTGAAGCCTGGGTTTTAATCACTCAGGGAATGTGTCCACACAAATGCCCATGCAGCTGAAACTTTAATGTGCTTCTTTAATTAAAAATTAATGTCACAAGCTTAATTAAGTGTTCATAATGAATACGCAATTAGAAAATCTCTTGAGGCATTTGGGGACCCCTTGCCCCACATTTCATGCTCTGGTACTTTCTGGTACATACTCTGAGAGATGTAAAGCAAGTTACTCAGAGTTTAGGGCTAACTAACATTTTTCTGTGGAGCATTCAACTGCTCCAGTCATTTCAGAAATGACATCTTGCTGTTTAGTAAACAAATATTTATTGAGTTTTCTCAAGAAGAAATATAATTATACTTGAATTATGGTCTTTGTTAAGTGGTTTAACTAGGCTTAAGCTCAGTAGATGACAGTTCAAAACTGAGTGCTAGTAATATTCTAAGGAATTATTTGGATTGTGATTTGGGAAAGAGACTTTACCTTTGGTTCAAAAGGCAGCTTAGAAATGTACATGTTGGTTTTTGTAGAAGGGAGGAAGAAGAGGATTATTCTATCCATCCATCATCCACCCACCAATCATCCATCATCCACCCCTCCATCTATCCACCCATCATCCATCTATCTATCATCCATCTATCATCCATCATTATCATCTATCTATCTATTATCTATCTATCTATCTATCTATCTATCTATCTATCTATCTATCTATCATCTATCATCCATCCATTATCCATCCATCATCATCTATCCATCATCCACCCATCCATCCATCTATCCATCCATCCATCATCCATCATCCATCCATCATCCATCTATCTATCATCCATCCATTATCCACCCATCCATCTATCCATTCATCCATCATCCAACTATCATCCAACTATCATCCATCTATCATCCATCCATCATCCATCCATCTATCCATCATCTATCTCTTCATCCCATCCCCTTCCCCTTTTTCTCACCTAAACTCCATACTTAAATTTTCTATTGTTTGAATCCATTATCTTCTTTGGTAATGGATTCTCGCTCTAAAATTCCTGGTCTCAATGAATGACACCACTATCCACCCAGCTGTCCAAAGTCAAGACTTTTTTTTTAAAGATTTCTTATTTATTTATCTGAGAGAGAGAATGGGAGACAGAGAGCATGAGAGGGGGAGGATCAGAGGGAGAAGCAGACTCCCCGCTGAGCAGGGAGCCCAATGCGGGACTCGATCCCGGGACTCCAGGATCATGACCTGAGCCGAAGGCAGTTGCTTAACCAACTGAGCCACCCAGGCGCCCCAAAGTCAAGATTAAGAAATCATTTTGGACTACTTCTGCTTAACATTCACAAGTCCTGTTGATTCTACCTTTCACACTCTTTTGAATCTGTCTCCTCATCTCCACCAACCCAGTTGGGGCCCTTCTCATTTGTCCTACAGATTCCCAAAGGAACATTAGATTATGTTACTTTCCTTGCTTAAAATCTCCAGTGGTTTTCAGCATAAAATCCAGACTGCTTGGCTTGTAAAGCAAGTGGCCTCATGAATGAATCCTATGTATATTTATAGCTTCCTTCTTCACCATCTGCCACGTGCCTCCTATGATCCATTCATTCAACATTCAACAGTATTTTTCGAACCGCTGCTAATAGTGAAGTACTCTACAATGAACAGGAGTGAATAAGACAATCGCTGCCCTTGAAGATGTTGTGGTTTAGAGGTTGAACCATTTGTGGATCCCTTGAGGTCTTCTACTGCACCATCAGCCTGGAAGTGCTCCTGGGACCCCTCTTCCACCTCCTTCATCTGGAAAGCCCCTTCTTGTGTTTCCAGTTGTCTCAAGTCTCAAGTTGTTGCCTCTGGAATCTTCCCTCTCACACCTGCGGTTCCTCTGGTCTCCTACAACCACATGCACATTCATGTTCCACAGTATGTACATGGTAAGTATATGGTAAGTAAGAGAGTGTGCTGTCCATGGAGAGGGGCTGAGATCACTAAGCCGGTGCCTGGCTCTTGGACCCAGTATGTCCCTGGAGAGGACTGGGCTCTGCTGGCATCTGCCACCCCAGTTACCTGCGGAGACTCCTGGCTTAGGTCCTTGACTACAAATCCCCAGTCCCACCTCAGTCCACCTTCCTGTGGATCAGCCTTGAGAATGTATCACGGGCTCTGCCCCATTCTGATTGTGAATTAATTCGGTGGCAATCTAGTTTGTGTATATAAGTCTCTTGTGAATCTCATCTGGCAACTTTGTATGGAGGGCAAAAGCCAGAGGATAAACTTGGACTGTGAAATGCAAAGAAACTCACAGTTTGGGAGCTGCTCACCCCGCACACTCTGCCTGCATCCACATGCCAGTCTTCCCAGGGTCTCGCTTTGTGTTCAGGGAAAACGTCCTGCAGGGAGAGGGATCAGAGCAGAAGGTGATTATTTCACTCATGCTCCAGGTTTTCCTAAGGCGTACCCAAGTGCTTACAATTTTCTCCATGTATTTATAGCATCTAACAACTTCCGCATCTTCTGTAACGTGTGCTGAACTCCCTGGACCCAGATACTCCGTTAGGGGCCCTGTCATGTGTCTTTGATGTGAGTCTCTCTCATGGGGCCTGCCAGAACCTCTTCACATGGAAGAGTGTTCATATCTCCCTGACCAACAGAGATAATTGTTTCCCCACATTTTTCTTGAGTTCATGAAAAACGTAAGCCCTAAAACTCGGCTTTCTGCTAATAACAAAAAGAATAAATTCCCTAGGTGTTTTCAGGCACAGTCAGAATTGCTTGCTGCTTGCTAGCCTGAAATTCTTTCGAAATATAAATGTGGAAAGGACACTTTACCTTGACCTACAACCTCAGAGCAAGTAAGCTAGTTGACACTGGGGCAACAGGTCAAGTATGAAAGCGGCTTAGCGCCTACTAAGGCCCTGCTCTGTCTCATTCGTGTGGAAATACCTGTGAGTCTCTGGATGCCGTCGCCCAGCAGTACAAAGACTGCCTTGGAGGAGTTTGTGATCTCTTTACCACTCCCGTGCCCCCCACCATGGGGTTGAGTGAGGGCTCGGGGTGAGGAGATGATGGCCGTGGTAGTGTTTCTTTCTTTCTTTTTTTTTTTTTTTAAAGATTTTATTTATTTATTCATGAGAGAGAGAGAGGCAGAGGGAGAAGCAGGCTCCCAAGAGCAGGGAGCCCGATGCGGGACCCGATCCCAGGACCCTGAGATCATGACCTGAGCCGAAGGCAGACGCTTAACCATCTGAGCCACCCAGGCGCCCCGTGGTAGTATTTCTGACAGACAGACAGGATCATATGTGCTGGCTTCCTCCTGTGATTCCACGGAACCGACGAATGGCAAATCTAGTCTAGCCAGCTCTCCCCGTGCTCCTCATGACCACTGATCACCTGTGGTCTGGTGCAGTCCCCAGTGGGCTTGTTGATACACGTTTCCAGCTATTTCATGGGATTGGATGACACTCAAGAGACGTTCCTCCCTCTACCTGGCCACCCCATGGGTCACATTTTCAAATAGTCCCCTGGAGGACACAGCCCTTGGGAAGATTGCTGCTTGCCGATCTCAGATGTCTTGCCTGGATTCTTGTTAGTTTTGATTTCTGATTTTTAGAGGTAGTGTTTTCTGATTTTTTCCTTCCTATTCTTCATCCTTCAATTTTACAGATATTTGTGACCAACACTGTGATAGACACTATCTTGGGAAGTGGGGTAGCAGGATGGAATCCCTGACACCTGGAGGCTTAAATACAAAGTGGTGGTCATGGCAACTCTCTGTGGTCTGGTTTTCTTAGAAAGGGCTCTGGAAGGGCAGGCTCTTTGAGCGTGCAGATCCAAGGCCCTCAGTGATGGGGATGGAGGTGGCACCAGCTGCTTTCTCTAAGACTAGGATGAAATGTCCATTTCCCTGTTGGTATGCGCCTGGGACAGCCGGGATCCAACTGTTAGGTGTGGCTTTTCTTCACTGGCTCTTTCTGTTGTGTTGGCTTGAGGCTACGCAGCGTTACTGGATGTCACGTGCTGATCAGTGCAGATGAAGTGGCACTGCCCCAGGGACTCCTGGCATCCTGTGGCTCCTCAGATCTTTTATATCACTGTGGTACTGGGTTCAGAGTGAACATGCAGGGAGCTGCTAAAATGATTTCTTTCCTTTCAAAGTGTTACCAGGTGATTTGGTGCAAAAGGTTAAAGGTTAAAAATAAGCTGTTAAACGTTTTCCATTAGCCATTCATAAAAGAAACGAGACTCAAACTTTAGAGCCCCCTAAGCCCCCATACTCGCCCTGGCCCCGGATGGGGAAGAGCTGGGTTTGGAGCCCTGGCCCTGCTGCTCAGAGATGCCCCTAATCTGTACAAGGGGCTATTCATGCACAGGTCTGTTCTGGGAAGTAGAGGACATCCTGTCTTTGCGTACCCCTAGCGAATGTCGGGCACTCAACAAATACCACTGTGCTTGGTTCAGGTCCTCCTCCCCTGCTTCGGAAAGGGCTGTGCTTCTCATCATGTCCAAGTGGGATCTGTTGCCCTTCTTTCCAAGCACACCTGCTTCACCTCTGAAAATGTTATTTTCCTATTTTGGAGCAGACAGATTTTGGGCGTGAGGATAATAGGCATTTTTACCATCTGTTCTGGGGGTTGGCCTGCCTGGCAGTGACAGATAATGCCTTCCTGCAAGAGAGAGGGTGGTTTCGAACTGTCTGCTGGATACTAATTCCACATTTGAGGCTTGACAAATGCCTTTTCCCTCCTCATTTCCATTTGGTGTTTCCCCGTGGCTGGAATATTATCAGAATTAATTTCTCCAGATAACGCCCTGTCCTCAGAGCAGACGCTGGGGTTTGCTTACTGAAGTGACTTCATGCATAGCGCTCCCCAGAGCCCCTGTGCCCTCTCTCCTGCTCCCACTTCAGAGGAGCCTGTGTGGAAGAGACCCCCTGCCTGTGTCCCTGGGGCTCTTTCTCTCACCCCTGCAAGGAGAGGCTGAACTAGGACATCCTACGTCATTTCCAGTGAAAGCGGTTGACGGCCCCATGCCTTCATCTGCTGACCTGAATTCTGACCCTTTCAGAGTCCCTTTCTCTATGGCACCAAAATTCAAAGATTTCCGTTGATATTTGAGGATTATAATTAGCATATAGATTATAAGTGCTGCTCCAGAGATTGCCAAATCAGACAGATTATTAAATAAGATTTTTTTTTTCTTTCCAGTAATTTCTACACCCAGTGTGGAGCTCAAACTCACAGCCCTGAGATCAAGAGTCGCATGCTCCCCCTAATGAGCCAGCCAGAGACCTCTAAACCAGCTAATTTTATGGTATGTAATGATAATGTATGGGGTTGTCACTGGGGGGGTATTATCACTGGATGGGTATAGACTTTGCATATATAAGTGACAATTGCCAAACATGCAAATGGCTACACTTTCATAAAGGCCGCACTTCCGGGTGCCTTTTCCCTGGAGACTCTTCCATGGGCGCTCAGGTGACAGAACTCTGCTTTTCTGAGGATGAACTTGAGTGTTTGGGCCAGAAGTGTGGATGGGGCAAGGACTTACCCCTGGCCCTGTCTGCCCTGATGGTTGGGGTACATTATTTTAGGTTCTCTTCATTCTCTAAAGTGGCATGAATTTGCCATCTTGTATTTGTTAAACACTCGTCACCCATGTTGGCGTACTATCATGGAGGACACTTGATTCCCTCCTGCAGCCAGGAGCCGGAAGGTGGGATTCCCGGCGTGTCTGTTTGGTCAGACGCTCTCCCAGAGGGGCTGTGCAGGTTCACTCAAGGCACTGGCCAGCAAACAGTTGGTAACAAAGTCTGTGCACATGGCAACTTGCTCCGCCGAGACCGTTCAGACAGAGCTCCCCCGAGAGAGCCCATTTTCAGAGATGGATCAAATATTGTCAGAAGAGCCACCCGGCACAGGGCTGAGAGAATGCAACAGGGCTCTGTCTCCAAAGTGTTGTCAAAGCTCCTGCTGAGCTGTGTCACCCACAGGCCTGACCCCAGTACTCCGTAGGCCCTGCACTAGCTAGCCCCTCATGCCACGAGAGGGTGGCATCCCACTGAGAGGGTGACATGGACCCCACTCTGACCTGGTTGGGGATGTGCTCCTATCAGGCCAGGAGCATCCATGGAAATCATTGGGAATCCTCCCCAGCAGGTGGGGGCTTATGGGGAGGTGAGGCCTTGAGAACCGTTTTGTCTTAGGAGAGACTTCCATGTATAGACTACTATTCTGATGTTCCAAAAACAAAAACAGAATCCAAAAGGTAACACCATGCTTTCTGATGCGGCAGGAACAGTTTCTCATGGGCAGTTTGGAAAGAGCCTGCCCTGTAAGTTCTGGGATCTGGGTCCTCCCTTTTCCTTGCCCTACAGCGCTATGCTTCTGCAGATCAGCCCCCTGGGTTTCACCCGAGAGACAGAGACAAGTCATGCTTGCTTTGAGACAGGGCATGAGGGGAGAAAGCCCCCAGGACCTGTTGTCCTTAGATCTATGATTGCTGTCTTCAGACAAGAGCCTCTCACTGTATCCATGTGATGGGCATGTCTCCTGCTCACTGGAACTGAGGACGAAGGAGGGCTGGACACTCAGCCCCACTCCCAGCAGGCTGATGGCAGAGACCCTGGGGACGTGAGAAAGCTCTCTTCTCTTCAAGAAAAGCCAAATATCCAGCCAGGTCTCTCTCATGCTCAGGTAGCTTTTCTGCCTGGTCACTGTTCCAAATGTTGATGAATGTAGTTGGAAGAGTTGATTGCTTGGTGAATATGTTTTAAAATAGATTTTAATTGTTGCTTCTTCTGCTTCTGCCTAAAGGGTATTTTCTTGTAAAGAACATAACTTTAGAAGTCTGCCGCAAACAATCATGTAGGGAGGTAATGGGGGCGGGGCTGGAAGCTGAAATCACCGTATACCATTTTGAATTTGAAGGCAAATTAAGGGCAGGTGGTCCTTGGGGGTTTTCCCCAAGGTCCCTAAGGTCCAACAGAGGTGACATTTAAGACAGGCAGCATGAGTTAACTAAAGCAGTTTGTATTAAAGTGACATCGGCTGAGGAGAGGGGCCCCTGTGCCGGCGGGAACCCGGAAACCATTATTACTGAGTCCAGTTAGAACTCGGTACATCCTCCCATGCAGGCTGCGGACATTTGGCTGTCACATCCACGTACGGCTGCAAAGTCCCAAGGCCAGAGAGTTCCCTTGTTGCCTCAGCATGCTGGTGGACACTGGCCACCTGCTGTCTGCTGAGGCCCCTTCCCGCCCCAGCCAGATGCAGCTCCCGTCCACCGCCCCTCTCTCCATGCCTGAGTCCCTCTCTCATTCGGGTGTGTCCATGCAGGTCTCCTTCTTTTTTTTTTTTTTTTTTTTAAGATTTTATTTATTTATCTGAGAGAGAATGGGAGACAGAAAGCATGAGAGGGGGAGGATCAGAGGGAGAAGCAGACTCCCTGCCAAGCAGGGAGCCTGATGTGGGACTCGATCCTGGGACTCCAGGATCATGACCTGAGCCGAAGGCAGTTGCTTAACCAACTGAGCCACCCAGGCGCCCATGCAGGTCTCCTTCTTGAGAGCCCAGAGGGAAACTGGTTACACGCTTACAGCGCTCTTAGGTGTTTGCAGAGAGGACCTTCCGGATTCCTAGTCTGTGATATCGTGGAGCTGGAATCAGATGGTCATTGTGAGGCACATATGATAATGAAGTCCATAAAAAAGGGGCCTGCTGATCAGCAGGTGATTGGTCAAGCCAGGCTCAGCAAGCTCTTTGTAAAGTGCCCGATAAGAAGCATTCAGCCACTCTGGCCTCTGTTTCACCCCCTCATTTCCTTGTTCGTGTGTTACAATCACCAGACATGTAAAAACTATTCTTAGCTTGCACAGAGAAATGGGCCTTGAGCTGGATTTGGCTCGAGGACTGCTGGGTTAAACCGTGCTACATCCATAAAATAGCACCCTACGTTGTCATTAAAACAGTTTCATGGGACAGCATTTAGTGAGATGGCAAATACTGATGCTATGTATTTGAATGAAAAAAGCATCAGTGCATGTTACAACATGCATTGGACATGGACATTGCACAGACAGTGATCTCAGTTCTTAAAAAAGAACCCCTCCTTAAAAACAGGTGTGCACAAGTGTGCAGAAAAAAGACTGACTAGAAACCCATGTCTGAATTGAGGCGTGTGGCCTCGCAGGGGCTCAGTGGTTGTGAGGCGACGTCTGCACTACAAAAGCCATCTTAGAATAAAACATTCGGCCGCCTGTCCCAGTCCACTTCGCTGCTGTTACAGACATACAGACACCACCGGTCAGGCGGCTTGCAAACCACACACGTTTCCTGCTCACAGTTCTGGAGGCTGGAACCAGCGTGGATGCCGGCACGGTGGGGTTCTGGTGAAGTCCCCTTCTGGGTTGGAGACAGCTGCCTTCTTGCTGTGTCCTTCCGTGGTGGAGACAGAGCTAGCTAGCTCTCGGGGGGTCCCTCTTGCCAGGCCGCTGACCCCGTCATGGGGCTCCACCCTCATGTGCTTGTCACCTCCCAAAGGCCCCACCTCCTAATATTAGGAGTTAATTGGACACTTACATAGTCAGGGCCAGGGTCCCCAACAAGAAAGCAAAAAAGCTGGGACAGCTAAGACAAAACCGCATTAGCATCCTGTTTTACAGCTTAGAGGAGACCACGATAGCCTCCTGCAGCCTCTGCAGGAGTGACTTCTGCAAAACATCCTGAAACAAAACAGTTAACCATAAAACATGGGTCACTATCACAAGTTGAGGCAGTTAGTCTCCAGATGTCAGCCCAACAGACCATCAACACATGAACAATAACCCGCTAGGTAGTGGGTACATGATCAAAGCCCTGATTGGCACACCTTAGCGGCCAGTCCACAGGGGCCCACACTCAGGATGCTCAAGATAGTTCTGCAAAAGAGCTTATAAAACCCCCTAGATTTAAAAGCCCAAACGGCAACCCTCTCGGTTCCCGTCCCTCTCCAGGAGCTTTGTACTATCGCTCGATAAACATTGCTTTGCTGTCTACCACTCTTCGTCTGGTCTACCTCTTCATTCTTCAAAGCGGTGTGACCAAGAACCACGGGCAGCAAGGGAACAAAAAACCCTGACACTAACAGCATCACCTTGGGATTAGGGTTTCAACACATGAATTAGGGGGAGGCACAAACATTTAGTCCATGTGTCCCGTCCACATCAATACCTGTTATCCCCAGGTCTGGGTCCCAGAGCAGAAAGTTTGCATTTCGCTACCCCTGAGGCTTTGAGAAAAGCTCTAAAATGTGTTGCCTTGGAGCCAATGCACCAAGGAAATTTCCTGTGGACTTCTTTAGAGTTTTGTGACTTGAGTTTAAACATGGTCTTACCTCCACACATATGTTAAAGTAAATTCAATGTCGACCAAAGGTTTCAATATAAAAAGTGAAACCAAACAATTACTAGAAGAAAACGTTTTTTTTGGTATGCAGTAAAATCATTTCAGAGAATGAAAAAAACCCCGAAGCTCATAAAAGAGAAGATGAATAAACAAATTTGACTGATGAAAGCAGAAAACTGCACAACGCAAATGCCATAAATAAAATCAAAAGACAAAGTATAACATGAAAAACATTTGCAGTGCATAAGACAAAAGTGTGTTTTCCTTAAATGTAAAGAAAGCTCAGCTCTATAAGAAAGGATGAACAACCCACTCCAACATCAGCAGATTTAGGAAAGACAGTTCAGGAAGAGAAATCTGATGACCCATCAGCATGGCCAAATTCATAGCGTCCCTAATAATTCAAGGAATGTTTCAAAAGGACACCAGTATACCGTTTTCATCCACCTGATGGGCAAAGATGCTAAAGCTCCTTACAACCTGGTGCTGGAAGTTCTGCGGGAAGCGAGCTCTCAGGTACGCCAGCGGTGGGGGCTAGCCGAGCTCTCAGGTACGCCAGCGGTGGGGGCTAGCCGAGCTCTCAGGTACGCCAGCGGTGGGGGCTAATGGACTCCAGCTCTTTGAAGCCATTCGATGTCGGTTTTCAAACATTAAAAGGCTCCACTGCTTCAAGGAGCACTTCCCCTGCTGGGTTTTATTCAGTGGGTGCACTCCCAGCTCTGTTCCTGGTGGCATTTTGTGTGGCAGCAGTTTAGGCGTCTGTTAGTAGGGAACCAGTTACATGCGTTTTTATTATGACCATGGAGCAGAGCATGGTGTAGCCATTAGGAACCACTTATATGTAACAGGCTCCAAAAATATTAAGTGGAGAACAGCAGGTTAATTGCAGTAGTAGGAGATGACCTCCTGTTTTCAAACATTAACACC